CTGCTGAAAAGGCAATTCCTCGTATAAACCAGTAATGCTATGCTGACCAAAAATTATTCAATCTAGGTGTGTAGCTATATCCGTCTGTAAGAGATACGTCAGTACTAGCCACGTCAGCAGCCACGGCACAACTCCGGATCCCAGAGCTAACGCTGGGACATCAAATCCTTTTTAGGCCACTTGGATACACTTTTGTTCTACCGTGCAAGAGCAACATGACTGCAAGAGAAAACTACTAATTTAAAGCTCGTCCTCTTCCATCGCGTCCACAATAAATCACTAATCCCCAACCGAACCCGTCCCTAAAAGGACCCTCCTTCCCGCGGCATCCCAAAGCGCCCATTGTTTTAAGAACAAAAAAAAAAAAGTTTAGCAAAACCTCCCTTTCAGATCCTAATCTCGCCTTGAGAGCGTCAGGAACCGTCTAGTTTATTTTCCTATTCATGTCCCGTTAACAAATCGGCCGTGCGTCCTGCCGATCACGACACGACGTGCAACAATGTTCTTTTAAAAGTCTTTTTTTTTTTGCTTCTCACGTTACATTCGAGCTCCATTAAGACTTCACAAACCCAGGCGGCCCACGCCATGCAAGATCCACTAATCTTTCCCACCCCCCCTCCTCCTTCTTCCCTGGTTGCACTCGCGGTTTTACGGGCGAAGGCGGATAAGGCCATCCTAAAAACGTTAACACCTCGAATCGAGCGACAGCCCTTTTTGCTGCTGTTCTTGTTGTTGTTGTACCGGCAGAGGAATAAAAACCCATTACCAGGGGGCGAAGAACATGACGAAGTGCGGGGCGATCTCGACGGCGTTGCCGAACATCTCGGCCGTGTACAGATGTTTCGAGTGCTCGTCCTCCTCGGCTCCGTCCTCGCACCTCGCCGGGCCGAGGAGCAGAGCGCAGCTGGCGAGGCCGAGCAGGAGCGCCACACCGTGCGGGGCAGCTGTGCAGACCATGCCTCTCGTCGTGCCCGGGCCACCTGTATCCGAGACTGAGACTGTGCGGGGGAAGCGGCGACGGCTCGGATACAATTCAGCACTCCCCCCCCCTTCCCTTCCCGCCCCCTTTCTGCTTTCATTCGGCTCTGCCGGGTTTCATTTCTTGCGGCGGTGTGTGGATCACGCTGCCGTAAAGCGACTTGCGGCGCAGGCAGCGCCTAGACGGGTCCCGGTGCGTCGGCGTGCCGGGGACTGTAGCTCCCGAGAGATCAGTAATGAATAAAAGAAAAAAGTGTGTAGTCTTCAAGAACCCCCATATAATGTATGTTATACGTGAGAATAAATATCCAGAGATATGATGTTAACACAGCGTGGTGTGATTCCCAAAGTTTTCTCGCGATTTAAAAGGACTTCGCGCAACCCGGCCATCCGCCGTCCGCCACACCTAGTTTCTGTTGGGCTCCCGTCGGTAGTTTTAATTCAGGCATAAGGACGATGATAATGATGTTGTTTATGATGTATCAAATACTGGACACTTGACGGCATTTTCAGTGCAAGCCCGGGACATCTAGAGCCCCAGCTCTCTGAAAAGTGATGATTTCTGGACGCGTAGACCGCTTCGCTGGCCTCACAAATACGCCGATGTGTACTTACATTGCTGACCTCATCAAAGAGCATCATCTTATTCTTCTCAGCCCTTTAGCTGAGCTCCTTGTATCGAAATCCAATTTGTTCAAAGAGATAGCGGACTTATTTGCTGTTGTTGAAAGGGTCACTTGATATAAAATGCTCGTTATACAGTCATGTCAGCTAGTGTACTGTACTTCTCGTCACGTTGGCCATCCCAGTTTTCAAAGCAGAGATTTAGGTGTAAAGGAAAGGATTTATGGTGTGAGATATTATGATAATATAATGCAAGATGAGTTAAATTGAGGGACATTTAGATTCAGGTAAGATGTTGGCATTTATGTATTTGAAAAAAACTGATGAAGAAGGTAATCCTTTCGACTAAGATACAGTACCTTTATACCGGAAGGGATTAGAGAGGAGATTTAACTGAGGATAGTGCCTCTGTTCTATTTCTGATTAGACACATGCAGCTTTAGTGAACTAATACCTCATTAGCAAGAAGGGTATTATGAAAATCAAAATAAACTAAACAAATACTGTTGCCTTTGCTTCTGTTCCCTTTGTGGCACACCTCTGTACATCTCAGTTTGTGCTGAAATCCACGATCTGTTCAGTCCAGGATGTGGTGTTCATGTAAAGCAGACTAAAACTCAGTAACAGCCGCGCTGGCGTTCGTTCACATCATTTTCTTAAAACCTCTTGCAGGATTTACAAAAGGTCAGACGCCGGGGTGAGCTGACCAACAGTCAACATTCAACACTTCTGAAGTTTTTATGACCTCCTTATAGTTAGCTGGGACCTAAGGCAACATTTTCCTGTTCAGATTGTCGACTGATGCCGTGTCAGCATTCTAATAAAAAAAAAATATTTTAAATGTAAGCCCCTCCCCCTCCCTAATTTAGGACTATGTGGTTAAGAGGCACATTCAAAATAGCAATCATAAAGTAGATCCCTGCAGAACCCACCCCTATCAACGAATCAGTACAAAATAGCCTCATATCTTTGATTTTTTAAATTTTACCCAAATTACCCGAATGTTATAACTTAAAATATGCCACCCCATTGCTAGGGCAAAACTAATGATGGAATGAATTGAGGTAGGGAGTGATAGCTGCAGCAGATAATTCTGGAGGTCATTTGTAGTATCAATGACATTTTAGAAACTAAGAGCTGTGCCAGGGATGACATTAAATGCATAGACCACTCTCTCCTTCAGCTTGAAACTCAAAGCACAAGAGTGGTGCCGCACATGCTGTGTCGGAATGTTTTCAGCGCAGGCCTTCTGGGTCAAGGTCTGCACCATCGGCACAATGAGAGACACCTGTGCTCCATGTTCTTCACTGGAAACTTTGCTTCTCCTGCCAGCTGCCCTGTGTGCAGGAGAACCAATTACATTGTATCAACGAATGAACAGGAAACAATATGAAATAAGTCTCCTTCCCCTCCTGTGCCGGTTCATAACAATTTAAAGAAAACAGGCCTGGAAAATTTTCCAGGGAAAAAAAATGAGGACATTTTCTAGTATATCTGATCCCTCCCTCTACTCTTAATAGTAATGACCCAGACTCTGGAATATAACTTGGCTGAGAGCCCTTGTTTCTCAGTAGTATTAGTATTGAAGCTCCTCACCCCCAATGTCATTTTAAAACTTATCAGAGCTTTGGCTATGAGATTTTAGGACTGCTGCGTTATTTCTCTTTAAGGAGGTTCATTTGTCCATTTTCATACAATCCATTTTCAAACAATTCTTTTCCTTATAACAGTTTTAGGGCAGAGTGCAATACATTATCAAATAATTCCATCAAATCTAGTTGGAAAAGCAGCCATATCACTCTGCAACTCACAACTGGCAACCCAGTGAAGCTCAGCAGGTGTGAGCCTGGTCAGTACCTGGATGGGAGACCTCCTGGGGCAAAAAAACTAAGGTTGCTGCTGGAAGAGGTGTTAGTGGGGCCAGCAGGGGGCGCTCACCCTGCGGTCTATGTGGGTCCTAATGCCCCAGTATAGTGACGGGGACACTATACTGTAAACAGGCGCCGTCCTTCGGATGAGACGTAAAACCGAGGTCCTGACTCTCTGTGGTCATTAAAAATCCCAGGGCGTTTCTCAAAAAGAGTAGGGGTGTAACCCCACTGTCCTGGCCAAATTTCCCATTGGCCCTTACCAATTATGGCCTCCTAATAATCCCCATCTACAGTATGAATTGGCTTCATTACTCTGCTCTCCTCCCCACTGAGAGCTGGTGTGTGGTGAGCGTTCTGGCGCACTATGGCTGCCGTCGCATCATCCAGGTGGGGCTGCACATTGGTGGTGGTGGAGGGGATCCCCATTACCTGTAAAGCGCTTTGAGTGGAGTGTCCAGAAAAGCACAACAATAATTATTATTATTGTTAAAAACTATGTGTAAATGCATTTAATTCCATTATAATATGCAGCTATATTTCACATTGCTTTCAGTGCACTCATGCATTCAATAATTAACAAAACAATGAAACAGAAAGCACTCAGTGCAGCAAGTTTCTGCAAGACTTCAGTAAATGCAGTTTGTGTAAGGAAAGGTCTGGTTAAGAGCTTCAACATTGCATGACTTTACACAAAGATAACGAGAAGCAATTCCTGGCAGAAGGCATTAAAAAAGCTGTAATTAGGGAATCTGACATGAAGTGTTTGTTGGGGAAAACAGTTGTTGTTGCGAGTTTTCTGTCCCCTGCTCTTCACCTTCACAGCTTGTACATGGGTGGCTGAACTGCCGATGTCAAGTCTGGAATTCTCACCACAAGGCAGCCTGAACACTGCAGTTTCTCCTGGAAATGCACTATCGGGGCTCGCTGTCCATAGAAGCCAAGCCATAGCTAATGTGCTGTAATAGAAAAAGCAGATCAACGGTCCCGGGAGATTTGAAGACACAGTGTTTATTTTGTTAATTGCTTGAGTTAACACATTAAAAAAAAGCAATGAAGTCAGCAAGTGACTGGTGTGAAGAGGCAGCCAGGCAGACCAAATTGCCACTTCACTGCCAAAGCTTCTGAGAGAAAGAAAAAATGGTTCAAGTAACAGATTACAAATACTGTGTCACTTTTAAAATGACAGTTTAAATTGGCTGTGAGCACAAATATGGCTCTCTAATTAAAATCAATAAAATATTGGCTTAATAACTGACATAGGCTGACTCAAAATGACATTTATTGAAATATCATTAAACCATTCTGAAATCTAGCTTTTAAATGCGTATTAAAACGCAATACCTATGAAATGCACTTAAGTAAATGAAGAAATATGTATTTACTCATACTCACATCAATGCCTTACCTGTATATGCAATAAATCATTTGATTCAATGCTGTTCTGCTGCAATACAGAATAATACTCCCAGTGCAAGTATAGAAAAGCTACCCATCCATGTTGTTGAAGCTGATATCCTGGGTTCTTTAAAACATTTGAATTAGATCTTTGGATCAGTTACTAACTACTAAATGGGCTCCATAGGTTGAAATCTCCTCTAATTTTTTAACCTTTCTTATGTTCTTAATATCACACTGTGAGTTTAGTGTATTATTATTATTTTCAATCTGATATAATTATTTTATGTTTCTTAAATATTCACAACTTTAGTCTTGTGCATTCCAACCATTTCATACAGTGGCATTTGATTGATAAAATAAGAATTAAGAAATGAAAGTGTGCACTTTATTCTTCCTTAAAATTACCAGAATTATTCTGTATTTATCTTTAGGAAGTTATTAATGAAAAAATATACAATCAAAACCATTACTTTTGAATGTTATATTATTTTAACTGGCACACATTCAAAGAAAAAAAACTTTGCAGTGAAGCTTCCTGTTTTGTTAGAGAATGTTCAGAGGGGACACAGCTGGTAGTTACGAATCTCAGCATTGATTTCAATTTTTCGACTTTCAGTTCATATTTTAAATAGTTCATTTGCAGGACAGGGAGAACGAAATTAAACAGGTTGCCTTTGCAAAATCTCAAAGATGTTTGTTCCTTTGTACTGAAGGAAAGTCTCTATTTAAGTGTTTAACCCCCTTATCCCTTTCCTATGCTTTTGTCTCCATTCCAGAAACAGCTCTAATTCTTGTATTTTTGCAAATCACATTATTATTCTGAAATCCTGTCAATCGATGCTGTGGTAAACAACCACTCAACAATGATTTAAAAACACTGGTTTCTTTCAAGTTGCTGCATGACGAGATCCGTTAGAGCAATCATTAATCCACCCAGCCATTTATAAAAACTCTTGAAATCACTTCATCTAGTTCACATAGTCTTTCTCAGGAATTAATATTTAAAAAAACTTTTTTCATTGGAAGCAGGCAGTGATATGATTAAAAAACCAGGGCAGCTCATTTTCTCTAGCACTACTGTGTGCTGAGTGTTCAGATTCCTAATGACTACCACATTTGACTCACTGTATTTAACATGCCCCACAGGTGTGCATTTCTTCACAGTAATAACATTACTGAAGGTTGTACGTGTCAATTTCAGAGTGCTCATAGAACTTGGGCCGGAGTCCCAAAGCTGTCATCGCTACAGGTGCTGGCTCACAGCTCGAGGGAGGACTTGCTGCTGGAAAATCCAGACCGTGTGTAAGCTCGGGGTGTGTGTGGCTTTGTGAACACGATATTTTAGACGAACGATTCTCGAGTCCCTGTGGTGTGACTCGAGAATGGAGAGATGTGAAGAACAGAGGACATGTAATGCCTGTCAAAACAAAGCACCGAGCCACGGAGATCACAGATCAAACCCGTTTCCTCGTTGCTAAATCCTTCTGGAAACCACCAGCAGGTGGGATCTTACTGTATATCACTCTGCTGGGATGAATACAAAAGAAGCAGCATATCAGAATACGTGTGCATGTGTATGCATGGTAAGTGAATTACCTTACACATACATACAGTATAAGTGAGTTACCCTAGTTCATAAATAAACTGTCAAAGCATGCACAGTCTGCAGGATTCAACCTGACTCATTAGTGCACTGTACTTGACTGGGCTGTTCTGTCTGGTACAGTATGTCCTTGATTTCAAGTGGCAGCTTCAGACATTGTCAAGGCTGAAGAGTGGCTATAACTAGACATCAAGAGACAGCTGTGCTCTGCTATACCTTATTAATCCCAGGTGATCATTGGTTGTCCTGTTTTTGATGTAAATGGCTCATACAGTACAGAAATATTGAGGTATTTCCTTCCGCAGAAGGAATCTGGCAAGGAGCAACTGTGGCAGGTCATCCCTCGGCACTGCCTCCTCCTCCTCAATGCTGCTCTTCCTTAATAAAGCTGATCTTGGCCCCTGGTGGTTTAGTGTGTAGTGTCTTGGAGGCAGAGCCCCCTGGAGCTTCAGACGCATGGATTCCTGGCGGCTCTCAGGGTGCGCAGCATTGGTGAACTCGCGTCTCACCTCTAGCATCCAGTCAGGCAGGGAGCTCAGTACAAGTCGAGCAATTGACTCCCTCCACTGGTGTCGACCCTGAGCACTGAAGTTGAGGGGCACCCATCTTGGAGAGACTTTGGTTATAGCCAAATCATGATTCGGATGACCGTTGACTCGGCTGCTGCCCTGACTCCATGACTGGTCCACCATGACCAAGGCCTCAGCCCAGGACCTGTCCCAGGGCTCCCTCACCGATCTCCCAGATGACTGTGGTGGGGGGTTTCTCCTGCCCGTGGCCAGGAACTTGACAGACCCCCAGTGGCCTGTTCAGAAGCATGTGCTTCGGACAGAAGCCTTGCTTGAAAAACTGTCCTTCAACCAAGACAAGATACATTTTTTTTATCAGAACAGAACTGTGATGGAAAAAACTTTTAAAAAGCATGAACCAAGCTGTGCTGATGAGTTTAAACACTTTGCTCTGTGAAATGATTGACCAAGCTTCATACCTTGCTAAAACAAGCAAAAGCTTTGAAAGCCATAAAGGACTTGTGGAGACCTCGCCAACACACTTGGAATACCTTCACTAAGATATTGGATATCTCTGTGATTCAATACTCTATGTTCTTGTCTATTTTATTCCATGTTGATGACTTATACATGTACATGTCCACTTGAGAGTATTTCACTCTGTGTACGGCATCATTTGTGTCATATCACTAACTCTCACCTACAGGTAGGATTTTATTAATTGGTTTAGATTTAGATTTTATTAATTGGTTAATTGGTTAGTTATTGAAACCCCATCCTTGCATAGTTAATGCATAGGTTTGCATGAAATACAATCTCTTCCTTGAAGGTGCTTTGCTATTTCTTTCTGATTGAAAAAGTATACAGTATTTGCCTGTACTGAGGATCCTGATCTCATTGACACAGGTGTGGCAGTGGATGAACATAAAGGTTTAAAGAGAGAAGTAGATCCTAAAGGAAGTGAGATAGAAATGAATGTACTGTACTCACTTGGTTTCACTCTACCACTCATTGATTTAGATTCCAGATCTACAGTACAGTTACAATTTCACAGATAACATGCACAGCTGCAGAGTGTCACCAAACAATAATTAGTCTTATTATTACTGCTGTTATATTTTATGGGTGCTCCATCCTGGAAAATAGTCATTTGGAAGAGTTTTAGTAAAAGAGTCAGAGATCAGAGTCAGTAATGAATTGTGGCTTGAGGAGCAATCCACTCTGAAGAGCTCCTTCCAGGAAATTGACACTTGCCTCTTGACATTCCTGGCTCTTGTCGGACTTAGCTGAATGTGAAATTGTGTAGAAGAACACAGGATACAATCTTAAACTCTATGAGCTGGTTGTTGCATCAGACCTACAGGAATATGAATTAAAAAAAAAACAGCTGATACATTTTAAATGATATCTAAAGGAATCCTTGCCCATTTTACACAAAGGTTTGTCCGCGTTGCAAAAGGAATATGGCTTATTAAAGTGAAGTAAAAATCCAATGAAAACCCTTGTCAGAAAAGACAAAAACTCTGTCAGCAACATGTTCACCTGTTCTTGTTCAAAACACTTTGATTATTTGTACTTCATCAGCTTGAACCCCCCAACCCCCACTGGGGCTGATAATACCCCCCACTTCTCTGGTCCCAGCTGAAGCCCTTTCACTGCTGCATGTTGTTAAAGAACGTGTTTGGCTTGGCTCAGGTCAGAAGCAGGTGACGAGAAACTCTTCTGGCATGTGGTCCAGCAGCTCCTTTGATCTTCCATCCAGCTCGTCCCTGGGGCTGCTGCTCCACACTTGAACATTGTGAACCCTGCGATGAGCTGAGGACCGTTTCCTGCATGCCTGTATCAACACCGGGTGGACCGGAATTGTCTCCAAAGTGCTCTGGTACAGCAACAGCCATGTCTTGCCAATGATAAACCCTGACACAGAGAATTGATGGCAGGCGCTATTTTGTAAGGGTATTTGAAAAAGCTGGAGAAGGGTATTTGGTAGAAAAAAAATCAGATATCCTAATGATTGCTTTTAAATGGTATCTGGGGAGAAGAATTTATACTGTACATTATTTTACTATGCATATTGTGAAGGACTGGAGACCCTTCCTGGTGTCTAGTACTATATTTACTAGATTAGACTCCAGCGCTTCATCTGAATGAGTGGATATTGCGAATGGATGAATGTAACAGAGAAAGTTGTCACGATCCTTTGCAGTCACATTGATTGTAAACTGTACATTACATGGGCTCTGTGGAATATAAACTCTCACCCACATACTACTTTGACATAAAACCTCACTCCTAAAAAAGAAACTTAAAGTCAGTGAGAGAAATGCCCAGAATCGGTGGAGCACATTATTTTCAGGGATTCATTTCCCAATTTAAAGCACAATGCTACTGAACTATGCAAACATTGTAGCTAGAAAACATTTGCTTTACTGCCACATAGTACCTTGTAAACTTTCATAATAATTTCAGCATTGCCCTAGGTAGGGCCTACTTTGCTGTACCGGTGTAGACATTACATCAGACAAACCCTCGCAAGATGATGCTGGTCACTCACATAACAGGGCTCTGTTCACTCCTGGCCCTCATGTAACTAGTGAAGGTTGGAGCCTTTAAAAAGGGTGACACGATAGTTTTAAGTAGTGTTATGTGGTCAGGCAGGACATGAGTCATGGCTTTTCTGGGTCCAGAGGCTTCTATCTTAAGGTAAAGTCATCAGAGCAGAATCTAAGCAGCCCGTTTCAATTCAAAGAGAAAAACTGACGAAAACGACGACAACAACAACAAATAAAATAAAGCTCGAAGTGGTGGCTGGAAGAACTACCTTACTGGAAAAACCCACTACTCTCCGTTCCTCTGCCAAGTGTCAGCAGCCCCCAGGGAGTGCAAAGGATGGGAGACTTTCCACAGTCTCGTTCCAAAGCACTCTGAGAAAGCACACACTTTAACTGTTTAACTATATAAACAGTAGACACTGTGGTCACCAAATCCATATTTATCCAGCAAAAACAAATTAAAAAGGGACAGTGCCAAATTATAAAGATTTACAGTTTTATTTGTGCTTTCCCCCCCAACAATAATTTACATAGTTTTAAGTATGAAGAATGCTGGTCCTGGAATTACTTTCCATGTCTAATTCTGGTTTCTGACCAACTAGAATAAGGTCAGAATCGCGTCATTTCTGACTTACTGGTTGAGGATCAGAATGATCATTTAACCAATTAGAAGCAACTTAATGACAGCAGCTAACGAGATCACCTTGTAGCCTCTCCGACGTTTAGCAAATAAATGGGATTGGAATTGTGATCCAGGCAAAAAAAAGTCAGCTACTGGTCCACCAACACGGCTTACAGCTTTAAAACACTTTGTCTCCCCTGTGGTCTCCCATCCCAGAGCTGACCAGGCCCAGCCTTGCTGAGCTTCTGATATCTAACCAGCCTAGGAAACAAGCTGTATTGTATCTGGAACAATATCAATTTCTCTCCTAAAATACAGAAAACCAACCCCCCCTGTCAAAGAATAATGCAAGTGAAAAGGTTTTACTTGTATATAATTAAAAATAATTCTTAGCAATGATTTGAGTTAGTGTCATTATTGTCATCAGGAGCTGACTGATAAGGAGGAAGGGTATTGTTAGGGGGTAGACACAGTTGTTGACACAACTAATCTTGACATTTAAACTACCTTCCTGACCATAATGGAAGTCTACAATGTACGCAAACAGAAACCCTAACCAAACCCTAACTTAAAAACTAAGTTTGTAGCTGTACCCCCTACATTCACGATTCGTCAAAAATTCCCTTAAGCTTGGGAAAAGGAAAACATTTCAACATTTCATTCCACCTTGACACCACTTCTAGCTTCATGTGTTTCCCTAATTAAGTTTAATATAATCCAAACTCAGTTCTCAATGTAGACCACACTTTTAACTTAAAATGTGCCCATTCCCACACCTAGATAAAGCCTTGTGTTGGCCAAATGTGGACACCTCACATCCACAAATAACACCTGGTTTACTTACTGCCTTTATTGTCCCAGATGGGAAATTTGCTTTGCAGGCAGGTAACAGGTATAATACAATGATACAATAAACAACGCATTTATGTTTAACACTACACTAACCCATTAACTAAGAAACATACATGCATAAAAAGAGAAAAAACAAGTTAGCACCTTAAGGTAGTCCTCCCAATTAAGATAAAAGCAAATAAATCGGGTCATCAGTGTGTGAGATAAATAAATAAGATGAATGCATTATGAAAAAAATAAAGTAAAAACCATTAATTGTCCAAGATAACTTTAAGTAGTACTAAAAGTAGTTAAGGGATAACTTGGTTCTGTTGCACTTAAAGCTCACATTCACTTTGCAAGGCCTGGACATGACAGTCAATGATTATATTGGCTTTCTGCATGATGCGTGTTTGGTATAGATGATTTAGGTTTAGGTATGGGAAATCCAAACTGAACACTGTTTTTAGTCACAAATTGTCCTTAACTGCCAGACAATTTCTCTCTCAGCACGACATCTGTACTCATAAAATCAGAACAGAACCCCAGTTTAACTCACTGACAAATTCTGTCTTCGCCAACAGTCATGCTTACTGCAAGGGTGTCAGGATGCGTCCCTCCTTCACATGCTTCACCTGCAAGCTCAGCAGGCCTGAAGCAGAATGATGCTCACAAGTGAGACCGAGCCCTTCATAAGGCTGGGGTTTGTGACACACCTGCTGTAGATATAGCTGAACACATTTTAGGGTTCTACAAAGAAGCAGAATTTGCCCGCCTGAAAGAACTTTTTGTGCAAGAGTCAGGTTTAGGGTTCAGGTGACGGTCCAGTGTTTAGGTTATTTGTCTCAATGGATCTGGGGCTAGCTTTAATGTTAAGGAATACCTGCTTTAAATAAGACCTTACGCCTCATGCTAACTCTAAACATGAAACTAACTCTACTCCTTCTCCAGCCTCAAAGGTTAGGGACACACACGGGCTTTGCCTGGTGGCATTTCTTGACAAAACACATGAGCCACCCGCGTGCCATCTTTCTCTAGCCTGGGTGTGCCACAGCCAGATCCCCGCCAGACAGAAGGGTGCTGGAACGGCCCTCAGTGGTGGTCTCTGTGTCTCGGTTAGGTTGACGACCCTCACTAGTTTCAGCAGGACCCCTAAGCTGTTTTGCTGACATCCTGCGATGCTGATTAGATCATTCCCTGCCAGAAATCAGTTCTTGAATCAAGGCACTATATACTCCCGCCTTCCCGTGAGCCACAGCGCGAATCTGCTTCCTTCTCTTCCATTTCTGACGTAAACCAGCTACAGTAACACCGATAAAAAACCCTTCTACCCCTCCAGC